TTGCTGAGGGACAGCACTCAGACCCAGAATTCAGGCCCACGACTGGCCAAAAAACAAAACAAAACAAGAGAGTTTTTAAAAAACTATTTAGAGATACATGTATAATTTCAGAATAACATCATAAATAAGCTTACAACATCTTGTTATAACTTTTGAAGACAACTACTTTTTAATATTGTTTCTACAACAATTTTTAAAAAAATCTCTGAAAAGCATAGCATTGGGTTTCTGTAAATTTCGTGAGTAGCTTGATGTAGCTGAAGCTAGCATTTGCAGTCTGATGGGGCGAGGGCTTCTGAATCCCCCAGCTTCCTGTGCTGCCTGTGTATACAAGTTACTCCTCCTATCACAGTTCTCTGGCAGCTGAAAAGCAGCTTGCGTTTTTAGAAGGGATAGTCTCAGTTTCTGGGGTTTTTTTTTTTTTTTTTTTGTTTCCATTTGTGGGGCCTGAACTCTGGGCCTGGGCGCTGTCCCTCAGCTCTTCAGCTCAAGGCTAGCGCTCTACCACTTGAGCCACAGCGCCACTTCAGTTTTCCAGTGATTAATTGTAGCTAAGAGTCTTATGGCCTTTCCTACTGGCTGGCTTTAAACCATGATCCTCATATCTCAGCTTCCTGGGAAGCTAGTATTATAGGTGTAAACCACAGTGCCCAGCTTGGTCTCAGTTTCTTTTAACTCAAATCTGTCTTATGAACCACATTTTCATACCAGAATCTTTATTTAAACCACAGGACAGCTCTATTTTTATAAGAAAAAGCAAATATACTGTTGGGAGTACTTTCATAAGCAGAAATGTCATTTTCAATTAAAAGGAAAAGTGAACATAATTATGGAAAATCTTAAGTCACATCCTGTTCCCATTTCAGCTTTGATTTCAGTGTTTCACTCCCTGAGGTACAGAGGAGAACGCTGGACGTAGCGGTGAAGAACAGTGGTGGTTTCTTGTCCAAAGACAAAGGGCTTCTTGGCAAAGTAAGTTTAAAAAGAGTGCTTGATTGGTTCCTGTACTTTAAAAATTGAACACTTCCCACTGTTCCTGGATCTATGTAAATGGATTCAAACTTATTTAGAAGTTGGTTTAGAAATTGGTTTAGAAGGAATATTGATTTTTTAATTTTTAAGACTTTGCTCAATACTACATTGAAGGAATACATGGAAGAAAATATTCTCAAACAGCTCATCTCTTCAACTGTCACTGTTCTTCTAGCTACTAGTATCTAGCAGATTATAAGCTTTATCTACTAATATTTTAGGTGTCTGTACTCATGTTGAACTTCTGTAAAATTGTGTGCAGGTAAGAGGTAAGTTAGGGAAGAGGGCTTTGAACTGTAGATGCTACGTTGTCAGTAGCGGCAGTAGCACAGCAAGCTCCCGTCAGCTATGCTGCCTGTGTTAGTTATAATGCTTTCTTGCCACTGTGACCAATACCTGAAAGAGGCATTTTGGAGGAAGAAAGATTCATCTTGAATCACAGTTTCCATCCACTGTTACTTGCCTCTGTTAGTCTTGGGTCACAGTAAAGCAAAGTATCTTCATCAGGAGCCACATTGTGGCAGGGCAGGGCAGAGCTTCTGAACTCATGGAAGCCAAGAGGCAGGGAGAGACAGAAATGGACCTGGGACAAGATACACAGGCCCTTGACATCCACAGGTACATGGTTGAAGAGGGAAAAACATGAATGCTTAGGATGCACACAGTTCAGTGCTGTATTGCAGATGCTTGAGTCCTTTTTCCTGTAAGCTGCCCAACTTCTACTGAAAATACGCTGCCTTTCAGAGAAAATCTAAAATTTTTACTTTATCACTTATACTAAGCACATTACCAAGCCCTTTTTGCTTTAGAGGGTCCCTGTCATTTCTACCTTGCTTTGGGCAGCATTTCTTTTGGGGGAAGTGCATTTTTCACAAAATTAAGAACAGGTAAATTGTTCCAGTTTTTGTTTGTCCTGGGATGTTTTTCTCTGCTCTTCAGTTATGAAGGAAAGCTTGAAGGGGTTGGCAGCTTGGTTGGTAGCTCACTTTCAGTGTTTGGCATACATCATGCCAAGCCCTTCTTGCTTTTTGAGTTTCAGCTGAGAAGTCTGCAGTTATTTTGACTACTTTTCCTTTTTTAAGTAATCAATCTTTTCTCTATAAAATCTTTAAGTATCCTTTCCTTGTTTTCTACCAATCTGTTTGGATAACGATATGGCAGTAGAAGTTTCTTCTCTGGAGGGTGGTCTGGTGGATGTTCTAAATGCCTCTTCCGTCTGAAAGTTCTGTGCTAGAATTCTGTTAAATTGTTCCGGGAGTTGCCTGTTCTTTCTCAGCCACAAATTAGGTCTTCAGATTGAGTCCTGAAGTTTTTTAAAGCTCCTTTCTTGTTTCTTGGTTTTGTTCTATATATTAACTCCTGTCTCTCTATAATCTACTCTTATCTTCAAGCCCCAAATCTCTGTCTACTATGTCTTCTATTTTGCTGTAGAAGAATTCTACTTTGTTATTTCTTTGCCTTCTGTTTGGTCATTTGTAAGGGTTTCTATCTCTATTGAAGGTCTTTTTTTTTTTTTTTGGTCCGGTCATGGGGCCTGAACTCTGGGCCTGGGTGTTGTCCCTCAGCTCTTCAGCTCAGCGCCACTTCAGACTTTTTTCTTTTTGCTTATGTGGTACTGAGGGATCGAACCCAGGGCCTCATGCATGCAAGGCAAGCGCTCTACCACTGAGCCACCTTCCCAGCCCCTCTATTGAAGGTCTTGTACTGATTTCTTCATTGAGTTGTCTGTACCTTCCTGCAACTCTTTTAACTGTTTTTTCATTGGACTCCTTTGCCATTTCTTGGAATTCATTTGGCTTTTTGTGTTCTCCATGAATTCTTCCGTTATTCTTTGGTTAGTCTCATTATGTTCACGAAATAACTTGTAAAAGCTTTCTATCATTTCATCGACTAAAGTAGGTCTTTTCGTAGCCTAGTTTGCAATATTTCTTCTAGGTCACTGTCTGTTCTATTGTTATCTGGTTGTTTTCTGTGGGTGTTATATTTCCTTGATTTCTCATACTTGTATTTCTCTGATGGATTTTACCCATTTGAAGACCTTTTCGTTGTGACTTTCGAGAGTATGAGATCTTCCTAATAGGTTATTCTCTGTGTTCTTGGTTCACTGGGTTTGATCTTCTTTTGTGATTTACTTATCTAGATTCCAGGTTTGTAAAGGCTATTCAGTGCAAGATCAGAGTTCAATCATGATCTGGAGCAATGAGTTAAAGCTTAACTATCAGTTGAAAAATTAGGGTACTAGGTATGGCAGGAATGGAGAAGAATAGTTTCCAGAAAGATTTAGAGGTGAAAGAGATAAAAGATTATAGAGGAGTTAGGAGAGGAAAGAAGGAAACGAAGACAGAGAATCTGTGTAAGGGAAGGAAAGAAGAAGGAAATAGAAATCATGTGATTACGCTAATGAAGGAAAACCCTCGTGTACTCTAAACAGCCTACGTGAGGTGCTGATATTCATCTACTTAATCAGCCCTGCACTTTTAAATGGAGAAAAGCAACATAGAGAAAACAAACAGAATATACACAAATGTCCACACATATACACATACATATATAAATAAAGCAAACAAAAACAACAACAAAAATGAACAAGTGCATAAACTGAAAAACAGAAATTGAAAGAAGAGTTTTCTTTTCAACTGTCCAGGCTACCTTGTCTGGAGAGTTGCTCTGTAAGCCAGTTTCAGTGGGCTGGTATCTTTTTGATCCTCTGTGCTCTGAGGCCCTCCTCCTGGAGGCTTAGGGGAGGAAGGAAGGTGTGGGGTGGCAACCACAGGGTCTGCCACAGAAGTTCTTACTCCTTCTGTTTACCTGGGGCTGCCACAGGCTGGAGGTCAGGTCATCTGACCTCTTCCTGCTGGCCTCTGGCAGATCCCCCCCTCCCCCATTGTCGGTGTCCTGGATAGGGCCATTGTCCTGGAGCACAATTTTCTTCTGCCTTTTTTCTACTCTGCACCCAGCAGATAACACAGTAATTCAAACACAATTGATGATAATGCAGGACTGACTTAGAGATTCCCAGCACCAACAACTGTGTAATGTGCGTGCAGAATTTAAAAATTATTTTTGAAAATTCTTTTGGTTTTTAAAATATATTACCAATTTTTTACCACGATGCTCAGAACTACATGTGTAAATCTATGAATAAGGCAGACTCACTGTCTTTCCTGGGTAAGCCCTTACGGACCTGTTTCTTCCAGCTAGTCCCCATTTCACACCTGCCACAACCTCCTTAATGCCATTAAAATTGAAGCCATCAGTGGATTAGTCCACTGGAGACAGATCAGAGCCTGAAAGCGTCACCCACTTCCTCAAACCTCACAGGTGGAGCCAGAGAGCCGTTAGCACATGAGCCCTTAGGGAAGCACTTCATGCACAAACCATAGTATGACAGTGTTACATTTGCTGATATCCACATAAGTTCTTTTATCTAGTGCTTCATAATAATGTAATCTTTTCTTTTGTGCCAGTACTGAGGCTTGAAAACTCAGGGATTAGCCGTGGTCCCTTAGCTTTTTCACTTATAGCTGGTGCTCTGCCACTAGAGCCACAGCTCCACTCCCAGCTTTTTGGTGTTTAATTGGATGTGAGGCTGGCTTTGAACTTTGGTCCTCAGATCTCAGCCTTCTGAGTAGCTAGAATTACAGATGTCAGCCACCAGAGCTCAGCATAACTTAATCTCAAAACTATTGGATATGGAGCTGGAAAGGTGGCTCAGTGGTAGAGCGCTTGCCTTGCATGCATGAGGCCCTGGGTTCAATTCCTCAGTATCACATATGCAAAAAAAGCCGGAAGTGGTGCTGTGGCTCAAGTGGTAGAGCACTCACCTGAACTGAAGAGCTGAGGGACAGCGTCCAGGCCCAGAGTTCAGGCCCCACGACTGTAAAAACAAACTATTGATGTAAGACGTCTTAGATAAAATCAATCCTAACAGTTGAAAAGATTGAAGAACTGGGAGCCTCAAAGAAAGGAGAGGACTAGATTCAGAGAAGGTTGGAGAAGCAATGGAAGACTTGAGTTTCTCATCCCTGTCTTTGGACCCACAGGTGTTGGTCGCTCTGGCATCTGAAGAGCTTGCCAAGGGCTGGACACAGTGGTAAGTATTTCCTCCCTGGCCACGTGTGAGGATCGCTCAGGGAGGCCCAGCATGACCCAGCACTTCCCTGAGCCTGGCTCACCGGAGCCTGGCTCCTGTCTGCCATGCTCTTCTTTGCTTTCTCAGGTATGACCTCACAGAAGATGGGATGAGGCCACAGGTGGTGACGTAGTCACGCTGGACGTGAGGCGTCTGTCCCAGCGTGTCTCCCTCCTCGACTTTGAACACACCTTCTTACAGATGTACCAAGGCTATTTTTTATAATCTCATGTACTGAATTATTCATACCGTAATAATTTTATAAAACTGTTGGCATTTTAGGCAGGGTTGGCAGATATTATCATCAGACTTCTATGTTGAGTTTCCTCTAGTGCTTCACTGGGTACTGTTACGTTCAGTACTGGGTGTCAGGTTAGGAGCAGACCAGAGCTTGCTTTATTACTGCCTTGTTCTGCATCACTGAAGGGCACTAGGTCATGTAAATAGACTGCATTTTTATAATCTACATACTAGCTTGGATTCAGAAGAAAATGGATCAAGGAAATACTTTCTTTAAAAGCTTGTTAAGTTCTTGTGACAAATAATCATTCTCATCTGTGCAGCAAAAAGTTCTCAGTGACCTGTTTTGCATATATTTAAAAGGGAAAATAGAAAGATAATTATCTTAATTAGGTTTTAGCATATTCCTGCCCATTACAAATGATCAAAGAAAGGATTCAAAATATTAACATTTTACAAATTTAAAATGTTATTGAGGAGTCATGGAGGGCTGGTGAGTAACAGAGTATCAAGAAAGCTGTCATGCTTTATAAATCATAACGTATTTATCCAAAATGTCTTACTTAAAAAGAAATGTCCTATTTTCCATCGCTTGTTATAACTGATGTGTGAAATTGCACAAGGATGCACACCTGCTGGGTTGGTGATGCAAGCCTGTAATGCCGGCCCTCAGGAGGCTACATAGCAAGCCCTGTCTCGAGAACAGAGATGAAAGATGGAAACAGACTTTGAGTGATAGCAGGTGAGCTCTTGCTGCCACGGGTCGTTGGTCATGTTCCCAGGGCTTCCTACTCTGTGCAGACAGGAGCCGTCGCTGCTGCATTGTAAGGTCGTGAGGCAGGCCAGGGGGAGCACTCAACACGGTGTCCCCTTACTGTCGGTGCGAGCCCCTCCGAACTGAGCGCTGCCCTTGCATGGAGGCACAGGGTCTCCGCGGACCAAGCGGCCTGCCCGGTGCCATCCCATCAGCTAACCCAGGGCTTCCTCCTTGTGTGCCACGACAGGCCTTCCTATTGGAATATTGCCATGACATTTTTATTTTGGAATTTTTTCTCTTTAGATGATAAAAAGCATGGTGTTTTATACCTAAGAATCCCAGAAACCTCTTGTGAGATGGGGCTCTGTAGGTGGCAGCATTACAAGCTGTGTAGACGTTAAGCTGTAGGAGGAAGGTGGCTTTCTTGACCATGAGAACGTTTAGAACTATCTATACACCTACAAGATATAAAATTTTGCACTGAAAATTGGAGATGTTCTTTTTGCATCATGCTGGAAGCAAATAATTATGGGTAGCTCATGTGACCAAATGTACCAAAGTGCCTATGGTGAATGCTGACTGCCATTTCCAAACGTTCCCCCCATCTAGTTTGTAACTTACACTTTGCTCCATAGGTATGTTTGTAATGGACTCTACATTCCACAACATGTTGCTTGTAATCGTAGGACTGGTGTGGTCTCCCTCTCCTGTCCGCTGACATGTTCATCTAAATAGTTTCTAACTGGTTCAGAGAGGAAGTTTTGAATACGTCATGCATAGGAATATATAGGCTCCCTCTGTCTCCTTCCTTCCTTTCTTCCATTTCTCCCTTCCTACCTCCCCTTTCTTCCTCCCTCCTTTCCTTCCCCCCCTCCCTCCTTCCCTTCCTCTCCCTCCCTCCCTCCCTTATCAAGAGGTCACTTTTTCTCCCCCCTCCCTCTGTTCTGTTCTATTCCAATATTGGGACTTGAACTGCTGCCCCTGAGCTTTTTCACTCAAGGCTGGCACTCTAGCATAAGACACAGCTCCACTTCTGGCCTTTTTGTGTGTGTGGTTCATTGGAGATCAGAGTCCCACAGACTTCCCTGCCTTGGTGGCTTCAAGCTACAATAATCAGATCTCAGCCTTCTGAGTAGCTGGGATTACAGCTGTGAACCATTATCTTCCTGAAATTGGCATCTTAATAGCAGACAAGAAACAGGTGTATCTTATTAAATCAGTTGCTTATTAATAGTATTGATTTCTTTGACTTCAAAAAAAAACAAGTTTATTGATGGGCTTCTATAAAGAAAATCTATTCATTGAAAATTTTCACCTGGGTTTTGTACCCATGCACTTCATGGGATGTATCTATGGAGTACTTAGGTAAGCGGTTGTTGGGCAGAGCGTGCAGTTAAGGACATAGAGGCCAAAGGAATCCCCTGTTACAGCACATGCTGCCAAGCTGCGGGGGTGGGGAGCTGCTGCCAGGAAAAGGGCTTGGGTGCCCCGCCACCCACTCGGGGCGCCGGAGCCTCCGTAGCCATCGCCATGAACTCTGGGCCTGGGCGCTGTCCCTCAGCTCTTCAGCTCAGGGCAAGTTCTCTACCACAAGAGTCACAACACCACTTCTGGATTTCTGGTGGTTCATTGGAGATGAGTCTCACAGACTTTCCTACCTGGGCTGGCTTTGAACCATGATCCTCAGATCTCAGCCTCCTGAGTAGCTAGGATGACAGGTGTGAGCCACCAGCACCCGGCCATCTCCATGCTTTTTAAAGGAAGAAAGAAGGGAAAGAGAAAGGACTGCCAAGAGCACAGAGACACTCCCAGATGCACTTCTTTCTGTTTACTATATGGGGAAGGTTGTGAATTACCATCAAGGCCTTTCTCTGTACTTCAGGATTCAGGTGACAGAAAACACCTCAACCTATTCTCTGAGTATAACTTTTAGGCTTTAGTGATTGGTTTTTAGTTCTCAGTCATGGGTTTTTCTAAAGAAAGGGAACTTCACTTCCTACTTTGATCCAAACCAATATTAACTCTGATTAATTTGAAGTGCAGGTCTGCTGGCTGGAACACGGGTTGCTCATCCTGTGCCTTAGAGTACAAAAGTGCTGTTCCGAGTGCCCCATGAAAACAGAAAAAGCCTTGTAGCTGTATTCACCAGAATGTGTACTGTGCACTCTGAGCATTCCTTATGTAGGCCATCCTCATCAGGAGACCAGTCCTTATTTAAAACCTAAGCCGACGCCTTAGGTCAACGTGGGGGCTGTGCACTTATTCTATTTTCTGTGCTTACTTCAGTCCTGGCTGGATGACCTACTACAAGGAAAGAAGAGCAGAGGAGCTGTTAAAATCTTGCTTAACTAATTTTACACGACAGTGCATGTATTTATTCAATAAAACTTTTGTGATAGCTCACTTGTGCTTTGATTTTTTTCTTTTGAAATGGGATTTTTAGTGTGGGGCCAGATAATTTCTTAAGTTTATGTAGTGTGTTTGCCATTATGAATTCTTCATTTTCAGACAGTTTGATGTTCTTGTGCACCTGTCTAATGTGCCTTTGCAAGGTCTGGCACGCCATTTGGTGAATGACTGGACAGACACAAATTCTTCTGGTAGACTGCCTGTGCCCATCTGCTTATATAAATCATTTTGTATGTCCTTCAGTGTTATAAATACCCACGTGTAAAAAGAGCTGCTCTAGGGGCTGGGAAGATGGCTCAGTGGTAGAGTGCTTGCCTCGTATCATGAGGCCCTGGGTTTGATTCCTCAACACCACATAAGCAGAAAAAGCCGGAAGTGGCACTATGGCTCAAGTGGTAGAGCGCTAGCCTTGAGCTGAAGAGCTGAGGGACAGCGCCCAGGCCCAGAGTTCAGGCCCCCACAACCAGCAAAAAAAAAAAAAAAAAAAGAGCTGCTCTTAGATACATTTTGGTCAAACTGTTGAATGCCAGAAAGACTGATGTCTAGAGAAAGGCTCCACCGGTTCCTCGGAGTAAGCATCCAGCTGGTTCCCATTGGAAACCGGGGAGCAGAAGTGAGTCGCAGATTCAAAATGCCAAAGAAAGATGACCACCAGGGGTCTGTCCCCCACAACCACTGTCCCAGAGCGAAGGTGAAATTAGCGCATCGCCAGATGTGGTTTTCAGAAAGTCTTACAGGGGCGGGGGGAAGGGGTTAGAGGTGTACCCATGCTGAGTGTCACGCTTTTAGAGAACTGATTGCTAGTCAGCGTGCCCTAAAAGAAGAAATACTTTTTGCCCCTGTGTCTGTGTGATTGACCTTTGAAAAGCAGCTCACTGTAGACATTCCCAGTGTTCTGTGTTGTAGCGTTGGGCCCGAGTCTCACATTGCACCGGCAACCTGAGGGTCAGTCATGACTTCTCCGTTCCTTTAGGTGCCTGGTGGCAAAGTAGACACAGACACAATGGTTACCCCAGAAGTAGTGCTGAGAGCCACATGTAATTGTTAGCACCCACGCTGCCTGTCTACAACCCTGCGTCGGGAACGGCATCCTGCCCTCCTTGTCCCCTGAACCTCTATCAGCATGCCCTGGCCTTCCTTTCCCGTACCTCTGGGCTCGTGATATCTGCATGTCATCATTTGTCCAAGAACAAGTCCCTCAGCAATCATTCCCAAGGTCACGTGTTTGTTGCTTGCATATTCCTCTAAGATTGACTTTACCAGGGAGGGCCCCATCTGGCCTCCTTCAAAGTGCAGTGGGGCAGCAGTATGATATGAGTACAAAAGTTAGGGCACATGTCCTAACTTTTCCACCTTGATCGGTTGTCACAAACTAAATGTACCTGTGTAGCCCATACCAGAAAAACGCCAGATTCCCAGGTCACTTGTACCCTGATCCAGAAGCTCAACTCTGCAGATCAGTTTTGCTCTTTTATTATAAGTTATATGTCAGTAGAGCCCTATGATGGGTTTTGTGTCTAACACTGTGCAGAGTGTTTTAACAAAGCTTGAGGACTAACTCATGTAATCAAGACCCCAGTGGACCAGTGTATGAGGAGGAGGCTCTGTAGGCCCAGGTTCACGACCCCCGTGTTATTTCCAGTTGCCTTTGGCCGAGGTCAACTTGAGTGGGTTGTAAGGGCATCCAGCACATGCGTGGTTCATGGGATCACACAGAGGACGCATGCTTCCCTTTCCAGAAACTTCTGAGAACCCCAGAGACCAGGCCAGTCTCATGCAGTGTGTGAGAAAGGAAAGCAGCAGCCTCCACATTCCACGGGCTCAGACAACAGGCTGGCTTGGGATCCCAGAATCATCACACACATGCACAGCACACATGTGACACTATACACTCAACACAGTACACATCTGACTTCAATATGCCACAAGACATCCTACTCATATACAACATACACATGGTACAGTGAACATCATAATATAGTCACAATACATACACATACATAAAACACTACCACTCATAGACAACACTACACACAACACACCTACAAAACATACGATATGACTCGTGTTGCCGCCGCTGTGACTGGAAGCTCTCAAGGGGGACTCCTCCGATCTGGGTCACTGCTGCCTGCCCCGCCCGCAGTCCCCTGCGCCATGGAGAAGACGGAGCTCGTCCAGAAGGCCAAGCACTATGACGACATGGTCACCTGCATGAAAGCTGTG